AGATGATGAGCAACAGGCAAAACCTGGTTGGCCAGCAGCTCAATACAGGCACTGTGGTTTAAATTCACCGTCACCTCACCAAATAACCCATTTCCGCATAATTAAAACACCCCCAGAACATCACAGAGCCTCCAGCTTGAACCACATCTGCACATAATCCTCATTGAAGGCTTCCTGAGGTCTACAATGAACAGTTTGCTCACTGTTACTGGGAAACTCTGTGAGGAGAAGTGAGAAAAAGCCTCTTGCGTGCCACATTTCAACCGAAAAAATGACCACTGAAAATGACCCATTGTAATGAGCTGGCTCCCATGCATCTAACCTAGCGGTTAGTCTAGCAGTATGTACCTTTAAACATGCATTCAATATCGATTTCATTCTTTCCTGATCAAAATTATTTAAGGAATAAATCTTTTTCTCTGTTCTTGCGTATGATTTAGGGTGAAGGGCCTCTAAATGTGCAGAAATGGCCCTGTTCATCTTATAAAGTAGACAAAAACGAAATGCTCAAAAGTATGGGGACACCCTTCCTTATTTTTAAGCTCTGGTGTTTCAGCCACACCCATTGTTAACAGGTGTATAAAATCAAGCACATAGCCATGCAGTCTCCATAGACAAACACTGACAATAGAATGGGTCGTACTGAAGAGTTCAGTTATTTTGAACGTAGCACCTCTGCCACAATCAGTTTGTGACATTTCTGCCCTGCTAGATCTGCCCCAGTCAACTGTTAGTGTTATCACTGTAAAATGGAAGTGTCTAGGAGCAGCAACAACAACTCAGATGCAAAGCGGTAGACCACACAAGCTCACAGAGCAGGGCCGCAGAGTGCTGAAGTGTGTAAGAATCTGTTGCATCGCCCAGCAGCGTTCCTTACTATGAACTGGCAGCAAGGAAATCATGCTTCGAACGCCAGGACTGTGCACACCATCTTTTATTAAGGCATGGAACCGTTGTTTTATCTACTAATGCCTTTGTTTAACTGGTCTTAGAATGTATTTTATGAGCCCAACTAAGCTGCTACAATATGTTACGTGGGTTATCTGTGAATGAAGCTGCTTATCCTCCTGAGGTATAGGGGGTGCTGGGGCCTATTCCATTGCTTACTGGGCAAAAGGTAGGAAACACCCTGGACATGTACAAGCAAAGAACAAGTTTCCAAAACAAAAGGGCAGGAAGAAAGGAGACAAAGGAAGCAAAGATCCCAAGAATCAGTCCTTGGCATAGAGGGCAAAAAATAACTGAGCAGAAGAGAGATCTCCGCACTTTCTCTCAGAACTCCTATGTATTTTTTTAAACTCAAGAAAAGGGACTCAGGAGAAGCCCAGGAGGAAGATCCAGAGAAATCCTGAGAGGAATACTGAGAGAGTTGGTCTGGCACAGTCAAGAGAAGGTAAGAGGGAAGGAAGATGCAGAAGTAAACTTGAGGGGCTTTACCAAATTACTGGCTTAGACTTGTGTAGCACTCAAGTCAAGACTGAGTACAGAGCTGAGGGTTGGCTTCCCTTAAGTAGAGGAAGAACAGATCTCGCCAGTCGCCCCTAATCACAGCGGAGTGGCTCTGTGCCTCCCTCTGGGGGCCCGAGGTGGCCTAGTAAGTGGAACAGCCCCACTCTGGGCCCTTACAGAGCCCCACTATCCGAGGAATGGCACCTGACATTCCCAACCCCAAGGCACAACCATGCCTGAAGGCTCTGATGAGCTCATAGTCCAAAAAGTTGGGACCCACAAGCACTCCTCAGGCCCAAACACTTTCCAGTCCACAAGGTACTGGGTGCCACTCCAGAGTCCAAGAGGTGGCAAACAGTGTACACTGATGACCCCACCACCAGGCACAGGGCCGGGGGAGTCGGGACTGGGGCAAGGGTGCTGCAGAGTGTGGGCTTCAGGCATGGTACATGGAACATAAGGTTGATGTGCATAGAGTGCAGGAGAAGCAAGTGGTTTAAGAGGTTGACTCTACAAATGGCCTTAAAGGGGGCCCAACTCAGTACGTCCCTAGTGGTGAGCCAGACCCACTGTCCTGGTCGAATGGTGGGCCCGGGTGGGCCTCTGGTCTGCTGCTTGCTTTTGGACTGCAGAGGCAGTCCGGAGAGCGGCTCGGGGTTTCTGCTGGGAGGAGGCATCGGGTTTGCCATTCTTTGACCCTGGTTGATGCCACGGAATGAAATTAAACCGGGTAGAAAAGAGCACCCACCTGGCCAGACGGGGGATTAGATGCTTGACCTGTTGGATATAGGCCAAGTTCTTGCAATCCATCCAGACCAGGAACGGGTGGTTAGCCCCCTCCAGCCACTGCTTTCTTTTCTCCAAGGCTTGTTTCACTGCCAAAAGTTCCCTGTCCCCTGTGTCATAGTCCACAGGTGTCAGGTGATGCGAAAACAAGGCACAGGAGCATAAATTCTGGGCAGAATCAAAATGCTGAGATAACCCTGCCCCTATGCCTATGTTGGAAGCATCAGCTTCCACAAGGGATGGGAGTTCAGGGTCTGGAAGCTGTAAGACTGAGGCCATGGACATCCAATGCTTAAGCTGTTCTGAGCTGCGGTCGTCAATTGAAACGTGGGCTGACCCTGAACTCCCATTCCTGATGGAAGCTGATGCTCAGCATTTTGTCAATGCCCAGAAGCTACGCTCCTGTGCCTTCTTTTCTCCAGGAGTAGCTGGAGAAACCTTACATGAGCCACATGTTCATCTAGGGAATGATTATAGATGAGAGAATGTCATCCAGATAGATGAACACATAGTGATCTAGAGCTTCCCTCAAGACCTCATTGATGAAGCGCTAGAAGACTGGGGCATTCATCAGATCCAAAGGGCAAAATTAGGTACTCATGGTGGCCTGATAAGGTGATGAAGGACATCTTCCTCTGATCACCTTCCCTAACTCAGATAAGGGTGTAGGTGTTGCGCAGATCCAGCATTGTAAAAACCAAAGCAGCACCTCGAAGGCTAAGGTCATGAGAGGCAGGGGGTAATGGTCTTTTACCATAAATGGGGTGGATTTGGCCCCCAGATCGAACAGTGGTGGAAAGAAATGAAGCACATGTAATACACTTAAAGGGGAAATCAGCTTTTCCAAATGTCTGCATAATTAAATGGTTAAGATGTAAACAAAGTCATTCAGAGTGGTTTGGTGTGAAACGCTCTGTTCTAGCGAAACTTACCAAGTCAGAATTTTTCACAATAGTGGTGATAGGAACCAGACATCTACCTCTATAAGCTCTCCCACAGTTATTGGATGAAATACGCTGCCTGATGTCTGAGACATTGTTTTATGATAGTTCTGTATAAGCTTTAGGTCTGAAACATATTTTTTAATTTAAATATGAGGAGTAATGTAGGAATGTCAGAATATCTCATAACACTTGTACTTTTTATACTGAAATACATTTAAAAGCAAGTACCTCTGTACTTTAAAGGCCCCATATCATGGAAAACTGAATTTTCCTCACTTTTTTTTTTAAATTAAAGACTTAAATGTAGTATGTAAACATTGGTAAAGTGTCAAAATGAATCGTTCACTTCTCAGTCCATACAGTCCATATATAGAAACAAAGCTGCAAAAACAACTCATTTTGAATTCACTGTTTTTGTGTTCACATATATCTGAGTATTCAGCCTACGACAGTTTAGCCCCCTCTTATTCAGGCTGAAGTTACAAGGAGAGTTTCAGCTTTTTGCGTGATGTATAATACAGGACAGCCAGTCGAGACACGGCTCATTTACATACATCACACATAAATATGATAAATTTTCATGTCTTAAAAGCACAGCAACCTGTTTATTTAAGGAATAAATGGAGATTGGAAAATGGTTATGTAAAAAATGAATTATGACACAAAATTCAGGAAAAACATAGAATATGGGTCTTTGGACTGAAGTTAAAACATAAATATAGCACTTATACTTTTATTCAACTAAGATTTTACAAAAGGTATCTCTACTTCCACTCAAGTACAGTATTTGTGTATTTTATTCACTTCCGAATGGGACTGGATTACAAGACCATGTGCTTTCCCTAAATGCGTTGGAGGTGATGAAGTCGTTTTGACATTACAGCAGAAGAGAAGTGAGAGGCTGGCGCTGTACTTTCAGGGTTTCATACAATTTTCTTCAATAATGATCATTCTCAGGGTGAAGTGTGGGTGGAATAATCTTCAGGTTGTGGTTGTTCTTGGAGTGAACCCACAGCTTTATCAGTCAATGCTACACAAGCTAACAACAAGCCACATATTATTTTTGTATGGCTATGGCAGCAAAACCAATAGAAAAAGTTGTTTACAGCGCATGAAGCATTACAGAGTTCATGTCACTGGCTTCTCTGTCCACAGAACAAGGCTGTTCAACAGCTAAAGACACAACTGGACCGAAATACAACATTACTGAGTGAAATTGTTATAATGTACAAAGCAAGAATGACTCACAGTCCCCCTGGCAAACTACTGGTACCGTGCGCCAATCTTGCACGATCTAATTGCATGCAATCACAATACAATTGATTGCACCATCACTTAATATGACAGAATATTATTTTATGTGTAAGTTAAGCTAATCAAACTGCATTTGTATATATGATATATTACCAAAAATTACTGGTTTTATATTAAGTTGAATATGTAGTGTTAATTTGGAAAAAAAATTTTTTTTGGTAATATTTGAGATGGAATTTAAGTGGTTGAGGACATTTGAAAATAGTTGCATTCCTGATAAATTATGTGTTGTTCGATTTGCTCAGTAAATGCAGTGCTTTCATCTAGAATCAAAAAATGTTGGAGAAAATAGTTTTATACTATTAAGGGAAGACGCTCACTTACAGACACAACACACTGACAGAAGTTTCACATAGAAGCTTGGTTCAGTCTTTCGTAAGAAATGTGATGTGAGGAATGAGTGATTAATAAAACACAGTAAGTACCAACTGATTATGAATTATGAATGGTTTATGTATTGTTAGGGCTTCAGTTCAGTTCAGGCCGTGCAGGCGAGGATCTCAGTACTCTGCGTTCAGTGGGTAGTCCTTGTGGTCAGAAGCCCTAAATGAAAGGATAAAAATGCCACTGAGTTACAAACTGATCAAAAATATATAAACAAGTAAAAAACAGCTACACATATTCTCAGTATCTCTTAACTCACCAGTCTAGAAAAGTTGTTCTCCAGTTCCTGTTGAAGCTCATAATGGTGTTCATATCTTCTGTACTCAGCTTAAAATCAAAGACCTGAATCAAAAAGAAAACAGCAATATAATAATATGTTCCTTCATTATGAGGAGATTTACATGCAGCAACATACAGTACACAATCCAGTAAGATCACCTGGAAATTTTCTTTGATTCTTTCCGGCTTGACGGATTTGGGAATAACTGCAATATTCCTCTCAATGTGGAACCGGATCAGGATCTGGTGATAAAGCATATCATGACCCTCTCAGCGTGTAACGTAAACCGTCTTTCTACACACATGATGATGTCATAACGACACACACAGGTACCTGCGCTGCTGTTTTCTTATATTTATCAGCGATGGCTCTGATCTTTGGGTCCTCCAGGAGGGATGGTTCATCTGGCTTTGTGCTGTTAAAAGAGATCGATCAATAGAGTTAATGGGTTCAGTTCAGTTCTGCAGTGACGGATGGGTCAATTGATTACTTTCAGCATAATTACATTCATTAGATATAAGCAAATACAATGGTTCATTGTAGAGACTCAGATTTCTTTACAGTGGTGGTGACAGTATAACACCCAGCAGGACCCCTTTCCCACTGGATCTATATAACGAGAATGTCTTAGACTGTACTCTGAAAGAACAAGCAAATAAGCAATACAACAAAGATGGTGTACCTTTTTTCTGGTGTTATTGAAGATGAAATGGTGAATATGTAATGTAAATCAGATGACCCCACCTCTACACAGACATAAGAAACGTTCATTTAACCCACAACCCCAGTTCCACAACACAGCCTTGATTTTTACCCGGTTCTTTCTTTTACATGCCTCTCTTGTCACCAGCAGTTCTCAAAGTGTTTGAATGAAAAGGGAATGCAAGTTCCTCAAACAAAGGACTGTGTAAGTTGAGCAGCAGGGGCTTCTCCACAACAACAGATGCTTGTTTGTTGGAGTCACTGTGCTGCTAAACGTCTACTTTGCCAAATTTTATGGGATACTAGAGACACTTTAAAGTGAACTGCCTCCCCCTAGACGCCTGGATGTATAAAACTACGTCACCTTATAACCAAACCTAAACCATTCAAACACTGGAACAGATGTAAATCTGTTACAATAGGAACCAGGTGTTGTGATGTCACAAGACAAATATATAAAATTAACCTACACGTGCTTTTATATGGAATGTTGATAATTTATGCCGTTGAATTTATGCCAGTCTCTCCTCCATGAATGGGTTTCAAAAATACTTTTTAGGCCATAACCTTATCTTACAATGTCTTCATCGTATTGTCGCTGTCCAAAGAAAAACAAGTATCTTCAAAGTAGTAACTTTACAAGAGAAGGGGTGTGTTGAAATAATGTAGAAGAACAAAAATCGAGATACATGGTTTTCTTTGGACAGCGACAATATCATCACCAATTCATGTAATAACTTACTGTAAGCTTTTAGAGGCATTAGACTCAGTAAGTTTCTTTAGAAAGGAGCATTTCAGAAACACGCTGAAAGACTTTTTGAAAAATCAGTGGAATTCCTCTTTAAGGACAAAAAGGTTTGAGTGCATTTTGCTAAGTGGAAGTAGCATCACCTAACCCTGGTGGTATCTGGTAAAGGTTTTAATATTTGCCCACCATGGTCTTTCAGGGGACCCCAGAGGGCTGTACGCAGTCACTGTGATGCCCTTAGAGTGACAGAAGTTGATCAGCTTCTCCTGCGTCAGGTAGGGATGGCACTCAATCTGGAGCAGCAGATAGAAACATCAGCTCTTTTCTACTGGAAAACACAAGACCTTCATAGACTCTTTAAAAATGGTTATTGAATATGTTACCTGGTGGTTGGCAGGTTTGTACTTGAGGCCTGGCTTGTTCAGGATGGCTTCAGTCTGGCTTCGGTTGAAGTTGGAGATTCCAATGGCCTTGACCAGCCCTGCGTCCACCAGCTTCTCCATTTCCTTTACGATAAATTTGGAAACATTTGTATGATCCAAATTCATACAGCTTTCCATGTGTACTTATGAGGATGTACAGTCTGACTAACTTTGATATTCATGTATCTTTAAGGGTTAATGAATGGATAATCTAATAACCACTGGGATGAAAAGAAAAGGAAAGAACTTCTTTGCAGAAGAACAATGAATTTGAAGAACAATTGCAGGACTGTTACCTAGAAAGTTACCAGGAAGTGTATGTGTGTGTGTGTGTGTGTGTGTGTGTGTGTGTGTGTGCGTCTTACAATAAAAATAAACATGACGTCAAATATGGAAGACACTAACAGGGAGCAAGAGAGCAACAGACCCTGCTGAATAACCAAACTTGATGATATCAAGTCAAGTCAAGAGGCTTTTATTGTCATTCCATCTATGTACAAGTACACAATGGAGTGAGATTACGTTCCTCCAGGAACAACAGGGTGCAACATGGAACAAAAGAGTACAAAGCACAAACGTGCAGACGTAAGTGGGCTAAAAATTTAAACTAGAAACAGTACAATAAATATGATAATTAAAACAGACATTAGACACAGTAAACAGACAGGACAGTGCAGCACTGACACAGCACTCATTTCTGAGCATGAAGTAGTGGAATAAGGTGCAGAGGTTATTTAATATGCTGTGATCTGTGAGTTACGCAGTCAGATAACATACGTGAGCACAGCAGTTACTGAGGTAGTACTTGAGTAGACACAGTGTAAACACAGTGTTAGCAGCAATGTTCCAGATTCCAGTGCAAGTAGAGCATCAAAAGAGGAGTGTGTGTGTGTGTGTGTGTGTGTGTGTGTGAGGGGGGGTTTCAGTTCAGTCCTTGTGAGTTTAAAAACCTGCTTGCTTGAGGATCAAAGCTGTTGCAGAGTCTGGCAGTGATGGCACGGATGCTCCGGTACCTTTTGCCAGACGGCAGCAGTGAAAAAAGTCAGTGTGAGGGATGGATGGGGTCGTCCACAATGCTGGTGGCTTTGCGGATGCAGCGTGTGGTGTAGATGTCCATGACGGAGGGGAGAGAGACCCTGATGATCTTCTCAGCTGTCCTCACTATGTGTTGTAGGGTCTTGTGGTCTGTGGCGATGCAATTCCCAAACCAGGCGATGATGCAGCTGCTCAAGATGCTCTCCACAGTCCCCCTGTAGAACATGGTGAGGATGGGAGGGGGGAGATGAGCCTTCTTCAGTCTCCGCAGGAAGTAGAGGCGCTGCCGGGCTCTCTTAGCTATGGAGTTGGTGTTGAGGGACCAGGTGAGGTTCTCTGTGATGTGGACACTGAGAAACTTGGTGCTCCTGCTGATTTCCACTGCAGAGCCAGTGATGTTCAGTGGGGGGTGGTCACCTCGCACTCTCCGGAAGTCAACAGCCATATCCTTAGTTTTGTCTACATTCAGAGACAGTTTGTTGGTTCTGCACCAGTCCGTTAGCTGCCGCACCTCCTCTCTGTATGCTGACTCCTCATTCTTGCTGATCAGACCCACCACAGTCGTGTCATCAGCAAACTTGATGATGTGGTTTGACCTGTGCTTTGCAGTACAGTCGTGAGTCAGTAGAGTGAACAGCAATGAACTAAGCACACAGCCCTGAGGGGCGCCGGTGCTCAGTGTGGTGGTGCTGGAGATGTTATTACCTATCCTGACTAACTGAGGTCTCTCAGTCAGGAAATCCAGGACCCAGTTACAGAGGGAGGCGTTCAGGCCCAGCAGGCTCAGTTTTCCAATCAGTCGCTGAAGGATGATGGTGTTGAATGCTGAACTGAAGTCTATGAACAGCATTCTGACATAGGTGTCTCTATTGTCCAGGTGGGTGAGAGCCAGGTGGAGTGTGGTGGAGATGGTTGAGGCGATATGCAAATTGCAGTGGGTCCAGTGAAGGGGGAGCTGTTCTTTAATGTGCCTCAGTACAAGCCTCTCGAAGCACTTCATAATGATGGGAGAGAGTGCAATGCGACAGTAGTCATTGAGGCAGGACACTGGAGACTTCTTCAGCGCAGGGATGATGGTGGCGGCCTTGAAGCACGTTGGAACGACTGCTGTGCTCAGAGAGATGTTGAATATGATATGGAGGTGAAACGAAATGAACGGGTGATTTTGTTGTTTTTGTTACACTATTATGCTACGCAAAATATTTTCCCAAGGTTGGCAGGTCTGTGTTAGTGATCACGTCTTTAAAAACGTATCCTTGGCAAAACATAAAATAGGCATTTCACTAAATTGTTGGTCTGTATATTTTTCCATCTTCCCACAATGGAACAAATACCCAAATAGTCATTTCAGTATTTGAATACTGGCACCTGAGGCAGTGATCAGGTGTACATGTACTGAAATTTCAGGTTTATAACTCTTTAATTACCTCCCATGTCTCCAGAAAGGTGCTGTTATCTGGAATGGCTTTGCCCTCAGCATCAAGAGGAAGAAGGGATTCTCCAGGCTGTAGATCCAAATCCAGCAATCAGGACTTGTGCACATGTAATACTTTTCACATGTTTTATGCTATAAATATTTATTTAATATGAATACCTTAAAGCCCATAGGTTCGTGCATCAGATAGAGATCCAGATAGTCCAGCTTTAGGTCACTCAGGGTTTTCTCACAGGCTCCTCTAACCAGAGATCTCTCATGGAATGTGCTCCATAGCTGAAATGATAAACATGATAAAATGTTCCCTCTGTTCTGTGTTTTGTCATTTTGAGGCCATTAGATAGCAACAAAAATTCTGTTTTTTCTGTCAAATTTTGTCAATGACTCTGCAGTTTCTGCATTAAATAAAAACAGAATGCAATGCTGTGCAAATCATTTAGACCCTACATTTAATGGAAAATAGTATGAACACAACATATGAAATGTGAAAACTGAGAACTCCTTTTGAATTTGAACACATTTAAAAAAGTTGGGGCAACAACTGGTAAACTTGCATAATGCTAAAAGAAACACCTGAACATCTCAAAACTAATCAGGTTAATTGGCATCAGGTCAGTAACATGATTGGCTATAAAAAAGAACATCTCAGATAAGCTGAGTCTTTCAGAAGTAAAGATCTGTCTGTGAACACAGTTCGTCTCTGCATCCACAAATGCAAGTTAAAACTCTACCATGTAAAGAAGAAAACATATATAAAAGATCCAGAAACTCTGCCGCCTTCTCTGGGCCTGAGCTCATTTAAGATGGATTGAGGTGAAGTGGAAAAGTGTCCTGTGGGCCGACAAACCAAAATTTGAAATTCTTTTTGGAAATCATGGATGCTGCATCCTCTGGGCTAAAGAGGAGAACACAGTGTAAAAGCCAGTGTCTGTGATGGTATGGGAGTGCATTAGTGCACATGGTTTGGGTGACGTGCACATCTGTGAAGGCTCCATAATTGCTGAATGATATAAACAGTTTTTGGCAACATTTGCTGCCATCCAGACAACGTCTTTTTCAGGGAAGGCCTCACTTATTTCAGGAAGACAATGACAAACCACATTCTGCATGTATTACAACGGCATGGCTCCATAGTAAAAGAGTCCGGGCGCTAAACTTGACCTGTCAACACTGAAAACATCTGTCAAATTATGTAATGAAAAAAATGACAAAGGAGACCCTGAACTGCTCAGCAGCTGAAATTCTATATCAAGCAAGAATGAGGAAACATTTCACTTCACATTTCACTTTCACACTGCAGCAGTGTCTCCTCAGTTCCCAAACACTTACAGAGTGTTGTTAAAAGAAGAGGTGATGCAACACAGTGGTGCTCAGTTTCAACATTTGATATGTTGTCTTTGTACTATTTTCAATTAAATATAGGGTTTAAATGATTTGCACATAATTGCATTCTCTTTTTATTGACACTTTGCACAGAGTTCCAGCTTTATTGGAACTTTTAAAAGTAACACACCATGCTTGTCTGTCATGGAGAAGTGTAAAATGGAAACTGTGTGGGGGGGGGGTGCTTACAAGCAGGAAGTGCATAACACGCATTCTGTGGAAATCCCTTGATTCTCATTGTTTCTGTCATTTATAGTGTTTCCCCCCTTTACCGTTTTGTCTCACAATCAACTATTCTCCAGTTCTCTTTTAGATCTACTGCACTCACTGCAACCAAATCACAGCTATGATGACCCCACACCACTCACCCCTCCGATGGCATTTGTTCCAAGTAATTTTGAAGTGCTTTTGTTGGTCCATTCATCATTCATTCATTCATCATGATAATATGATAATAATGGTAATATCCATTACTATATATAGTATATACATAGTATATATATAGTATATACTATATATAGTATATAGTTGATTACACTCACTCTACATTCCCAGTGCAATATTATATGTCTCGGTGCAATATTATTATTTTTAAGTTATTGTGTAAGATTATATGTATATATTTTAGTTAAATTGGTTTTATCTATTCTTCTATCCTATCTATAGTTTTGTTTATCTATGTGTAAATACTGTTCTCTGCATAATTTGTGGAACTCACACTCAAGTTTTTCACTCACCTGTGTCCCTGTACTCTTGTGATGTGACAATAAATCTGATTTGATTTGATTTGATTTGATGAAATTTTTATATAGTGCAAAGGGCAGCTGGTGATTTCGAATTATGTTTAAAAAGGCAGATGCAAGGTTTTGTTCTGACAGTGATGGTATTTGTGATCAGTTTATTAAAAACTGCAGTTGTGCAGGCAGATTGCAAAAAAAACCCATAAGTAAAACCAAATGACAGCATTGGTTCTGCCCACCTTGCTGACGATGAAAAGTTCCTCTCTTTTTACCACTCCTTGGTCAATCATGGCACGGACGCCGGCCCCAACCTCCTTCTCATTCTGATACACATAAGCCCCATCAAAGTGACGGTAACCAGCCAGGATGGCCACCTTTATGGCTTCTGTGACCTCTTCTGGGGAGGACTGTGGAGAAACACCACTGACACTTTAACACCATGAGTTATGTAGTTCTAAACTACCAACTGATCAACCAACAAACTCATCTTTAAAACTCCTGATTGCATTTGCATGAGTTAAATTGGAGGGAACTATAAAAGGCCATAAGGTTCTAAGATTAGAGAGTTATGGTGACCTAAATGCAAGTGGCTATTAGCAAGTGACTGAGAATACTGGAATACACAGGTTCCACTTAACACAGTAAGAAAGGGATAAAGGAGAGTCAGAGAAGAGGAGTGAGAGAGGTAGAAAACACTACAACAGTGCAGTTTAGGAGAGTTTAACTCCAACCACATTTCATTTGCTGCTGAAAAAGTACTCTCAAGCAAAAGCAGGCCGTGTTTCAGCAGCACAATAATTACAGTTTTAAAGTCTCTTACCTTCCATGTCCCCAGACCTAAAATGGGCATTTGTGCTCCAGTATTGAGAGCGAGAGCGGATGCCATGATAAAGCAGTTATCTTTTAACTAGATAAACTTTATTAAATAGTGTTGTTTATGATTCTACCATTAGTTTCTCTGATTCTTAAAACTGTGGCAGCTCCCCAGAAGGCCAGTGTTATGATTTGATTGGTCACGTCTGGTGTCCGCCCTCTAGCTGCTGGACCTTGGAGCCAAGAAGGAGGAGTTAGCAGCCAGTCCAGCAGAAGCTTGCATTCTGTAAACTAACTTGACCAAAAGCTCATTTGGACACTGCTGCTCAGTCAGTGTAAGCAAAAGCTTTATAGAAACACTTTCAAATGTGAAACTGTATGAATTAATAGGGTAAAATACAAAATCTGCTTCTGCACAATGTGTCAAAAAGTAGTTTGCTGTTCATATGATTTGTTCATCCACATTCTTATGTTTACATAACCCACCAGTGAAACTTAAAAAATAATAGATCATGGTAAATGCAGTATTGCATGGGTAGAATGAGGGTGAAATGGCAAAGCATTTCAACTGAAAAATAACTGAAATTGACCCATTGTAACGAACTGACTCCCATGCATCTAACCTAGCAGTTAATCTAGCAGTATGTACCTTTAAACATGCATTTAATGTCAATTTTATTCTTTCCTGATCAAAATTATTTAAGGAACAAAGTAGACATAAACTAAATGCTCAAAGGTATGGAGACATCCTTCCTTATTACTGAGATCAGGTGATCAGCAACACCCATTGTTAACAGGTGGATAAAATCAAGCACATAGCCATGCAGTCTCCATAGACAAACACTGACAATAGAATGGGTCGTACTGAAGAGTTCAGTGATTTTAAATGTAGCACACAATCACTTCATTGTCTTTGTTACATTCTGTACATCAAAGGCAACTTGGTGTGTAAATTTTAAATAAGGATGGAATAAAAAAATGCATAGTAGATATTTTCGTAACACTTTCTATGAATGTCACCTTTGTAAGCATCTATAAACACATTCATAACGTTATAATGCATTCATAAGACATTATAAACAGCTATAAATATTTATAAAATGCATTATACATAATAGCCATGTTTATTATGCATTATGAATTGTTAACATAATACATTATAAGTACTGGTCATAACAAATTATAAGAGCTCATAAGTTGTATTTGTCCGCTCTAAGTAAAGTGAAGCGCACTGTACTAAAGCCTCCTCCAGTGTTCAGAGTGAAGCTTCAAGTTGAAGTATTTACTGAAGGATTTACTGAAACACTAAAACATTCACAGTAAAGCACATTACAGGCTTCAAATGTCAGAGTTTAAACTAGAGCTGCATCAGTGTTTTACCCAATGTGGGAAAGGTAATGTTCACCACCGTTAGCTTGGTATTTGTCTTTACTTTACGCTCTCCAAGCTGGGACTGACTTCTTTGGCACTGACATTATAACATGTTATTAACACTACTTATAATGCATTATATTAACAATTCATAATGTATAATAAACATGGCTATAAAGTGTAATTCAGTGTAATTCTTTTTTATAAATATTTATAATCACGTTTATAATGCCTTATGAATACATTATAACATGTTATAAATGTGTTTATAGATGCTTACAAATGCGACATTCATAGAAAGTGTTACCGGTATTTTAAATGATACTCAAAAGGGATGGATTGGGGACGCCTGCCTACTCCCTCTCTGTGCCCTGCCCCCCAAATTGAGCCCAGTACTGCCCTGTGGTCTTTGAAGTGGTAGTCAGTTCCAACAGTAGTTGATCTCTCACCTACTCACCTACTGGTTCACCACCAGTAAGATAAAAGGTGAAGAGCAGCACCTTTCTTACCTCAATGTGTATAAAGGCCATTCAATCTACTGACCATAAAACCAAAAACAGTAATAAATTTAAAATGTGCATGCACACTTTATGGTAGACTGAGCTCATTGTGAAGCCAAATCACTCACCAGCCAATGTAATAACAGTATAAATGTTGCACTTCAGTGGTAAAAAGTGGTACTGCAGCTACAAAACTCATACGTCACAGCAAATACAACACAAGTCTGTTAACTGTTCAATTAAAAGATAAACAGAAAACACAGTGCAAATGAACAGCATTGCTCAGCTGTCAAAAAGGATCAGAACGCACAGAGGGACACTTCAGGAACACACGGGCAGGGAGGTTAATCATTTACTAGGGGGTCTCCAGGAGATTTTTGAAATGACCTCCAAATGTAGAGTAGCAATCAGGCAAAATGTAAGATCAAAATCAATCAAAAATGACTACTTGGATAAGTTTTGGGCACAATCAGTATGTGAGCTGTATGCAAGCTCAGTGGACAAAAAATTTAGTCACCTGTGACTGAAACATATCTAATAGCGTGTAATACCTCTACGAGCACGAATAACAGCTGTGATTGGATTTGGCCTGGACTGGACACATTTCTGGATCAATGCTCAGCCACTCTTGCATCAAGAATTGAGCAGTTTGGCCAGATTTTGTGGATGTCTTCCCTGGGGTCTTACTCGCTGTTCCAGTTAGTCCCATAGTTTTTCAAGAGGATTCAAATCTGGGAATTTTGCAGGCCAGTCCAGATGTGTGAATGCTCCCGAACGTTCATCATGCCAATCAGTCACATTTGCAGCCCTGTGAAGATGATGAGCAACAGGCAAAACCTGGTTGGCCAGCAGTTCAATACAGGCACTGTGGTTTAAATTCACCTCAACCAAATAACATCTTGTCCATCTCATATCCATATCTTATACAATCTCTATATTGTACAAGATTTCTATATCAGTATTCTATCCCTGTGTACCTGCATCTCATTTATTTATCTACCTCAGACCAACTGCACATACGGAATGTGTACAACAGTACATTTCATAGTTTTATTTCATAACTTATTACTGTACAACTGTATGTTGGAATAGTGCAATAATAGTGTATATTGTGTATATGTGTATATCCAGAGCTGGTGTATATATATATTCCTTTTTCTTCTTAGATATTTTTATTTTTTTGTATTTAAATTCTACAAGGGGGCTACGCACCTAAGATTTTCACTCACTTTCCACCTGGGTAAATGTGATGTGACAATAAACGTGATTTGATTTGATTTCAATAACCCATTTCCGCATAATTAAAACACCCCCAGAACATCACAGAGCCTCCAGCTTGAACCACACCTTCCACGCAGTCCTCATTGAAGGCTTCCTGAGGTCTATGATGAACATGACGCCGAGCATCATTTACATACAGGCAGAAACGAGATTCATCTGACCAGATAACGTGTCATGAACAGTCCAGTTTTTGTGTCTCTTCGTCCACTGTAACCGGACAACTGTGTGAGCAGAAGTGAGCAAAAGCCTCTTGCGTGCTGCTCCGCTCCATATGTTCATGGTATGCAGTTCCCTGCAGAGAGTTCTTTCAGAAATTGGTTGTGAAGAACCTGCGTTGACCCAAATGCAATCACTCCTTTTGGCCAATCATTAACATCTGCTTACGACCCATTTTCCACGTGTTGAACGAGACATTCACTGCACTGTACCACCTCTTCTCAATCTATGAATCCTCTCACACACCCTGCAGATATTTATAGCAATGCCATCTGCAGGAGCCTGAAGTTACTACCACCTTAAACTCGCAAGATGACTAATGTTTTGTCCAGGGAGCTTAGTAGACCAGTGATTCACCACCCTGGCCCTGGAGGACCCCCTTTTCTGCATGTTTTTATATTACAAATAGTGATAGCAATAGTAATACTGCTATTACGGAAGGACCCAGCTTAGAATTTGACTTGTAAAGATTTATGAATGTGAAGTTTAGCTCATGTTTTTAAGTAATAATGCTGTTTTTTGGCTTTGTCAATATCAATAAATTCAGCCCCCATATATTTCCACAATAGAGAGAAATCTTCATACAACTGATCAATAATAAATCTAGATACTTCTTGCCTGAACTTTCTAGGATGTGAGCAGTACCAGCAGAGGTGAGAAACCGCTTCAGACTGGATATCACAGAAAGTGGAATTAGTAATAAAACTGAACTTTATATTTTGTCAAGTATTGTTTTGCAGAGTAAAATCTATGAAGAAATTTTAAAGACACTTCCTTGTTCGTAAGAATAAAACAATGCACAAAAAATACAATCACTTTGTAAACTGTGTTTAATAACTCAGCTCAAATCTTGTGAAACATCTTACTTAATGTTTCCAACTGGATGTTTGAGGAAATAGTTTTGTACTGTTTACAACAACACATTCCAAGACATTTCACACAGACAAGATAAGATAATCCTTTATTAATCCTTTATTAATCCTTTATTAATCCCACAACGGGGAAATTTGCGGTGAAAAAGAAAAAGATCTCTTTTAGAACTTCTGCAGTTTGGTCCCTGTTAAGAAATGACAATTTTAGAAAAAATAAGTAGTTAATAAAACAAAATGAGCATCAATTTTTTTCCTGGTTTACAAAATCTTTGCGCTTGACTGACAGAAGGAACATAAAGACTGGAGCTCAGTACTCTGCGTTCAGTGGGAAGTCCCTGTGTTTAGAAGCCCTAAATGAAAGGAAAAAAGTGCCACTGAGTTTCAAACAGATCATAGATACATAAATAAATAAATATCAAATAGCTACACATATTCTTGTAGCTCACCATTCCATTGCAATTCCTCTCCAGTTCCTGTTGAAGCTCAGAATGGTGTTAATGTCCGCCTTACTGAGCTTAAAATCAAAGACCTGTATTAAAAAGCAGAATATTGACAGGATGAAGTGGTGCATGTTCCTTTTATGTAAACATTTACACAGCACACCGTACACAGCCTAATACGATTACCTGGAAATTTTCTTTAATTCTCCCTGGACTGACGGATTTGGGAATAACCGCAACATTCCTCTCAATTTGGAACCGGATTAGGACCTGGTGATAAAGTTAACTGATTAGCATGTTGTGTTTGAGGTGAGATGGTAATACATTTCTCAGAGTGTCATGCAAAAGCTTTAAAAGCTGATAAAGGACACGGCTGACGGTTCCTTTCACACAGAAATCAAGCATCAACCACTTAGAGATGCACACACTGATCTAAAAGGACTGAAATGATGCTACAACCAAGTGTTGTGGTACTCGATCCCAGGACCACTCACTCAGAACCGAGTTCATTCATTGGTTGGATTCATTCAGAGCAGGCATTGATTGGACTCATTCAGAGTGGGCATTGATTAGATGGACTAGTACTCGGCCTTAATTCGGTCTTGACTTGGTCCTGCTCTTATTTGGACTCAGTCTTGACCCGGTCACAAATTCATTTGGCTTTGATCTTGACCTTAAACTAAATCAAATAAAATATATAATAATTTTATATAATAATAATAGATATATAAACATACACAGGTACCTGTGCTGCTGTTTTCTTATATTTATTAGCTATGGCCAAGATCTTCGGGTCCTCCAGGAGGGACGGTTCACCTGCCTTTGCCCTTTAAAAAGAGATTGATCGGTAGAGTTAATGGGTTCAGTTCAGTTCTGCAGTGATGGGTGTGTTCATTGATTACACAAAAGAGGAATTCCACTCAAAATTTCTGCATAATTAGATTGTTTAGATGGAAACAAAGTGAATCAGAGTGGTTTGGTGTGAAATGGATGATTATAAAGACTGAGATTTCTGTGATGGTTGGAACCAGATATCGCCAGGACTACAACACAAACCAGTGAACCTACACGAGTCTTCTGAGTTTTTATACAGAATGTTAATGGTGGTTATTTATGCCAATCTCTCCTCCATGAATGGGTTTGAAAAACATGTTTTAGGCCAAAATCTTATCTTACAATGTCTTCGCCTTCAGGCAGCACATTCATAACCATTTCATGTAATACCTTAGTGTAAGACAGGCATTATACTCTTCAGACATCTGGTTCCTATCACCACCACTCTGATTGACTTAAGCATTTCACAACCACTCTGAATGACTTTTCTTTACACTTTAACAGCTGAATCATAAAGAAATTTGGAAAAAGCAGTGGAATTCCCCTTTAAGGACAAATCTGGAATCTGGTGGTATCTGGCAAAGGTTTTAGTTTTTGCCCACCATGGTCTGTCAGGGGACCCCAGAGGGCTGTACGCAGTCACTGTGATGCCCTTAGAGTGACAGAAGTTGATCAGCTTCTCCTGCGTCAGGTAGGGATGGCACTCAATCTGGAGCAGGAAATAAAAACATCAGCTATTTTCTACTGGAAAACACAAGACCTTCTTCAGCTCTTTGCAATCAAAATGACTGTTGAATAGGGGTTTAACTGCGCATTAATCTATTGTTACTCCCCTATTACTGAATGTTAACGTAAGAAATACAGATGCAAAATGCTACCTGGTTGGTGACAGGTTTGTACTTGAGGCCTGGCTTGTTCAGGATGGCCTCAATCTGGCTTCGGTTGAAGTTGGAGATGCCGATGGCCTTGACCAGCCCAGCGTCCACCAGCTTCTCCATTTCCTTTATGGAAATTTTAATAATGTGTCATTCAAACACATTTCATGTGATTTTCATGGAAAACATATGTATGTATTAATTTAATGAGGCAGTGATAATTTTCTCCTCCAGAATAGGTTGTGTACATGTACTGAAAATGTAAGTTTATTACACTTTCATTACCTCCCATGTCTCCAGAAAGGTGCTGTTATCTGGAATGGCTTGGCCCTCAGCATCAAGAGGAAGAGATTTTTCTCCAGGCTGTAGATTCAAGTCCAGCAGTCAGTGCACATTTAATGCTTTACATGTTGTTCATTATAAATATCTATTTATTGGTAGCACCTTAAGGCCCATAGGGAAATGAATCAGGTAGAGATCCAGATAGTCCAGCTTTAGGTCACTCAGGGTTTTCTCACAGGCTCCTCTAACCAAAGCTCTCTCATGGTATGTGCACCATAGCTGAAAAGATGAACATGTGCATGTTGAAATGAATTACACTCCACTCTGTGTTTGTTTTGGACTTGAGTAGTGTAACTACTGGTGAGTCAACAGTCAGTAGTCACACCCTTAAATCATGAGATAGCGACAAAAAATTCTGCAAGTTGTCAGTGACTCGGCAGTTTTTCTATGTACCATGTCATGACCGTGCAGTAGCGCATAATAGAGAGTAGAGAATGAACTTTATAACCCATATGTGGAAATTCACAAGTAGGGGGGCTCACGGGTAGGAAAAAATGACAAAAAAATATAAAATCACAACAAATACATGAATAATAAGTGATAATAATACCAATTATTTCAAGTACATAATGCATATCCTGTGTGAATCTCTTGATTACCATTAAGTTTGTCATTGCATTTTTAACTATTCCCCATTTTTCTCCATTTCTCTATTTGATCTACTGCACACACTGCAACCATATCACAGCTATGATGTTATTGGTGGTAACGCACTCCCTCTCATGTTCTCCTGCCTAATCAGAGTTGAACTCTGATTTCGCAAAAAGAACTTTTTCAATATGATTTCCGACTTCTGGATGTTGTTCAAGAAATATAATACTTCTAGAAATTTTCAGAATACATAATATGTCACAACATTTATTTTTTCTGACATCTGATAACTTGGAACAGACAAAAAATGCCACAGAATTGCTACAGTTCAAAAAAACTATCAAAAAACTACAACGTACAGTGATTACAGTAATTGCAATGATTTCATTCAATGTTTCACACACTGCACTGCACCAAGTCCAATGATAAAGGCCTCGTCATGCTGTCTTTGTGATGAAACATGCAGTTGGCCAGATTTCTTTAAGCACTAACAATATTCACGATATACTCAGAAAAGCATATTGTGACATAATTTAACACAATGATGATAAATATTGTCACATTGCGCAGCCCTACTGTTACAGGCTCTCTGTATCTGCTCTACACTGTATTCTGTAACTGGAACTGCTTCAGTAATATTCAGCGACAGGTTTTCATTTTTAGGGTAAAACTAAAAAAACTGCAAAACTAAAACACATATACAAGAATATATAAGCTGAATGTCAGTTCTGAGTTTCTAATGTCTGTGTTTATGCTAGACTTTAGAATAAATGTCGTAAAATGTGAATAAACTCCACTGCTAGCTTGGTGGTAAAATAACAGAGGCATTTCCATAGCATTATTATTATATATCAGCATTATGCTGGTGAAGTAATCGGATAAAAAAGCCTTTTAAAAAGCGAATTACAATGTTTCTGATTTAACTATGTATTTATGCTATGTAATGGCTTAGACTAGTGGTTCCCAGCCCTGGTCCTAGATGGATCCCTGCTCTGCACATTTTAGTGCTTCCTCTGTTCCTCACACACCTGGACTGGGTTGCACCAGGTTTGCATATGTTTATAAATAAGTTTGGCCATAAAGTCTTTACTGAGTCCTCAGTTACAGTAGTTAGTTTCCAACTATCCTTTTACTAAATTTGGTTGCACCACAAATCCGTCAGTCGTGTCTTAACAAGTAACAACTAACTAATGCGTACATCACTTTAACACGACGAGAACATGTTCAGAACCGATCAGTAAACCTGCTGCCATGGAAACGCAGGAGCAGTTGGCTCTGGCTTCTCAATGGAAAAAATATCCAGCATGGAAGAGAACAATGTGTACAGGAACCACTAGAACTAATTACCTACAGCCGCTGTCTGTTTATTCTTTAATATTTCACTGAGAAACCAAATATGCAGCTTTTTAAATGATGGTTTCTGGCTGACCGACACAACAACTGCCTTAGTTTAGCCGTTTGTGCAGCTGCTGAGACTCACTGAGCTGGAGCTGTGGGTGTTTAGCCTCATGCTCAGAGTTTAAACCAAATTAGAGCTGTAAGTAAAATCACTGTGTATAGTGTTTGGAGTTTTTAGCTTAGTTAACCAAAAATGTCATGTTTTTGGTTTTTCTATATGGTTTATGATGGTTTCCCCAAAACTTACACCTGCTCAGGTGGAGGTGTCAATATTTAGTAACTACTAAGCTCAACGTTAAAACCAGTTTGTGTGGAGCAAACCATTCTGATTTAGTCATGCATAAACCTGAACTTAGTAAACACTCACGTTACAACTAGCCTACGATTGAACTTACACACAGCTGGTGCAACCGGCCACTGATCCAACTAATCTGCTAATTAATAAGCCCTTCCTGAGTGGAAGTGGGTGTGTTTTGGCAGGAAAACAGAAAAATGTGTAAGGAAGGGGGTCCTCCAGGACCAGGCCTGGGAACCACTGGCTTAGCCGGCACATGTTGATGACTTTATGATTCTCAGTGTAGAAAAGAAACTTCAAGCCTTTCGTTACTGAACAGCTAGCAACAAGACACATCAACATCCAGGCCTAAACAGCATAGATTTTATCAATTAATTAATTCATTAGTTAATTTTAAAATATGCATTTTAGTTCAAAGCATACTATAGTTGGTAACAGGCAGGTTTGGATGCTCTTAAGAAGTAAATCCAAATGACAGCATTGGTTCTGCCCACCTTGCTGACGATGAAAAGTTCCTCTCTTTTCACCACTCCTTGGTCAATCATGGCACGGACACCGGCCCCAACCTCTTCCTCATTCTCATAGACATGAGCCCCATCAATGTGACGGTAGCCAGTCAGGATGGCCGCCTTTACGGCTTCTGTGACCTGTCCTGGGGAGGACTGTGGAGAAACATCACATACACTTTAACACTGTGAGCCATGTAGTTCTAAACTACCACTGGTTTAATGCTGCCTGTTGAACAGTTAGTGAACAGCATCAGCTCTTCTACAGCAGTGCAGTCTGAGAATAACTCACACATTTCGTTTGTTGCTCAATGAATCCAACCAAAAACAGTCAGTTCAGTAGGAGAACAAGTAGAATTTTGAAATCTCTTACCTTCCACGTCCCCAGGCCTATAATAGGCATCCGTGCTCCATTGTTCAGAATAATAGCGGATGCCATGATGAAGCAGACCTAGACGTACTAAGGGAAGTGGTTTCCTTCAGCAGTTTCTCTGCCTCTAAACACAGGCAGTTCCCTAGATATAGGGCTACTGTCAAGATTTGATTGGTCACATCCTGAGTCTACCTACTAGGTACTGGAGCCTGGAGCCAGGGGGGTGGAGTAAGGAGGCAGGCCAGTAAAGGCTTTCATTCAGTAAACTACCATCACAAAATGCTCATTGCTCATGTTTTCTTTAGCGGCTAGAAATATTTTCCACTGTCAAAACTGCGTGAATAAGAAAGCTGAAGTGTAAAGTCTGCAGAGTATTGTGTTGGCTGACCACACCTAGCATGAGGTCCACACCCAGACACTTGTCAATAGATATTCCAGCATGGTGTAACTTTAGAAAATGAATGGATCACAGTATTGTAAGGGTAAAACGCAGGTGAAAAGGCAGAGCTTTAAAACTGACCCACTGTAACCAGATGAATAGCCAGCTGATGCATCTAACATAGCAGCAAACCAAAGTTCTGCTATTATAACTTTTATTTATCTTCAGGGTTAGGCTCATGTATGTTTTGGAGATTTGGAGACCCCTCTGGTGGAAATTGTGTAGCATGGGTTGTGCTTCGGATCCCTTTCCCAAGTGAATGAATCTGATGATTGAAAGAGAATTCAAAGAGAACTTTGAAAGAAAAGGAAGAAGAAAAGTATCTTCTGAGGATGTGAGTGAATTATCTACTATTGTCATGTCTTCTTCAATATACTGTTGACTTTGAGATCATTTGAGACCTAAACATCGAGCCAGACCTTCTTCTTGAACCTGACGTTAATATGTAAAGACATACAACATGGTGTTAAAAACTCCCAACCAGACAGCTCTGACTTTTAAATGATTATGTCAGGCTCACCATATTTCAGCATATATTTATTTTTTTCTGTAATTTTTATTTTTCTCCCTTACTTGGTAATGTTACTTCTTTCAGTTTAAAATCTTACATAGTGCAGCTTAAAGGAAAATAAAAGCTATGACCAAAACCACTAAGAAAGCAGGCAAGCTCCCCTCTAGTGCTGAAGTAAAAATACTTGCTAAAAGTAAAAAATACAGTCTTTTATTTTTTACTCTTTTATCGAGCCACTGTTTGATCAGTTGATGGAAACACCTTAGGTCTTGAAATACCAACAAAAGCTTTGCAAGTAATCAGTGACTTAGCAGTTTTGGAAAATACAAGGTCATGCGTCTTGGTGCTTTGCAGATTTTGATCTTGCCTAATGTGTTATGCCGTTTCACCACTCCTTGACCAATCATGACACAGATCTGACCTCTTACTCGCTCTGATACACTGTACTTTATCAATGTGACTTCAATCAGCTACACTCTTAAAAAGACTTCTTCAAGGGTTCTTTGGTAAAGATGATGGTTTTATGTAGAACCGCAAACAACACAAACCACAAACACATTTGCTTGGTTCTTGAAATGGTTCTTCAGACTGATGGAGAATGTGTTGTATATAAAAAGGGTTCTGCTGTTGTTACAATGTCAAGCTAATGTCAATTCCAAAAAAGTTGGGACGCTGTGTAAAATGTAAATAAATGTAAATAAAAACAGTGCAATGATTAGCAAATCTCATAGACCCATATTTTATTCACAATAGAACATAGAACACATATCAGATGTTGAAAGTGAGACATTTTACCATTTCATGAAAAACATTAACTCATTTAGAACCTGATGGCAGCAATGCAACTCAAAAAAGTTAGGACAGGGCTGCGTCTACCATTGTGTAGCATCCCCTCTACTTTAACAACAGTCTGTAAACGTCGGGGAAGTGAGGAGACCAATAGATTGGGAGAGGAATGTTGTCCCATTCTTGTCTGATGTGGGGTTCTAGCTGCTCAACAGTCCTGGCTCTTCTTTGGTGGATTTTTGCTGCCATCAAGTTCTAAATTAGTTAATATTTTTCATGAAATGGTAAAATGTCTCACTTTGAACATCTGATATGTGTTCTATGTTCTATTGTGAATAAAATATGGGTCTATGAGATTTGCAAATCATTGCACTGTTTTTATTTACATTTATTTACATTTTACACAGCGTCCCAACATTTTTGGAATTGGGTTTGTACATCACTCTGAAGAACAGTTGTGCCATGCAAAGAAGCGTTTAAGTATGCATATGGTTCTTTGAGTGATCATGGTTCCATATAGAACCACTGTCTTTACTAAAGAAGTTCCCTTGAAGAACCATCTTTTTTAACAGTGTAGGATGGCTGCGGGTTTTTCTACCTGGTCTGCAGAAGTTTGGCGTGAAACAACACTCTTATTCCAAACCTCACACTGCGTCACATTTTACACAGAACCTCAGGTAGAAAAGTCCCAGTCCTGATGTTTAACTTCACTGCACAGTTTAACCCCTTAATCTCAGGCTTATTACATACTAAGCCTTATTATTCAGTAACTACAGGACTTCAATGCAAACTGGCTGAGCTATTCTTAGGTTATAGAAGTGTGTACTATAACTTTGGGCCGCCAGGAGGCCCTGACCATGTAAGGGGTTAATGCCGTCTGTGCTCTGACCGACCTGAAATGTTTGACTAGTAATAAAGCTTTTATGAGTCGAATCAGGAGTGGGTTTCAGAGCAAGGAAAACACTAATGCAGCAGGACCTTTTTTCAGTTTGATCTTTAAATTACCACACCTCTAGTGCCCAAAGGTTAGGTAACAGTTCCATGGTGGTCTAAGCTGGTTTATACTGGTCTAAGATGGTTTAAGATTATTTATCAGTGTTGTCGGAAGAAAACCTCGTACCTCCAAAATGGCAACTTTACAGGAGAAGGAAAAAACCTACTTTACTTTTAATGTAAGTCAATGGAACCAGACTTTTTTGCAAGTCATTTTGGGTCATTTCTTTTGATCCATTCATCATTAAATTTACAAACAATGTAAAGATCAACAGGCATTTTGAAACTATGTCAAAAACTGAAAAATGAGGTTTTCTTTGGACATCAGCGTTATGCTGGTCTAAACTGGTCTAAAATGGTCTAAGCTGGTTTATGCTGGTCTAAGATGGTCTAAGATGGTTTGTGCTGGTCTAAGCTGTTCTAAGATGGTTTGTGCTGGTCTAAGCTGATCTAAGCTGGTTTATGTTGGTCTAAGATCATTCTGCTGGTCTAAAGTAGTCTAAGCTGGTTTATGCAGGTCTGAGCTGGTCTAAGCTAGTCCAAGCTGGACTGAGCTGGTTTATGCCAGTCTAAGATGGTGAAAACTGGTCTAAGCTGGACTGAGCTGGTTTATGCCAGTCTAAGATGGTGAAAACTGGTCTAAGCTGATTTTTGCTGGTTAAAGATGGTCTCCGCTGGTTTTGCTGGTCTAAGATGTTCTAAGATGGTCTAAGCAGGTCCAAGATGGTTTATGCTGGTCTAAGCTGGGCTAAAATTGTTTGTGCTGGCCTAAGATGGTTTATGCTGGTGTAAGATGGTCTAAGATGGTTTATGCTGGTGTAAAATGGTCTAAGATGGTTTTTGCTGGTCTAAAATGTGTTTGGCTGATGTAAGGTGGTCTAAGATGGTCTACCCCGGTCTAAGCTGTTTTTTGCTGTCTAAGATGGTTTACGCTGGTCTAAGCTGGTCCATATTTAAGATTACAGTTACATTTGGAACTGTGACAGGACTGGATTAGAAGACAAATTTCTTTTCTAAAAAGTATTGGAGGTGGCGAAGGTAAGGTGTAGGAGAGGAGCGAGAGGCTGCGGGGTTTATACAGACATTTCCTTCACTAATGATCATTCTCAGGGCGAAGTGTGCGAGGGTGGAATGATCTCCAGGTCTGAAAACAGACAGATAATGCCGTTGCTGTTCTTGGAGTGAGCTCACAGCTTCATCAGTCAATGCTACACAAACTAACACCAGGTTTTGTTATTTTTGGATGGCTGCGGTTGCCAGGTCAATAACACCAGTTGTTTACACGAAGCTTTACAATGTTCGTGTCATGGGCTTCTCTGTCCACACAACTCGTCCTTCAGCAGCTTAAGTCTGTTCAAGAGCTAAACTGACAAAAAAGACATCTTAGCGAGTGAAAACATCTTAAATGTAGTCAATATGTTTAATATTTCTCATTATGAGACTGTCGTTGGAACATTGCAAGGTATTTTCTAGAGATTTTTACTTGTAATTGTATCTAGTTAAATAAGCATGTTTAACCTTTTTTTAAATAAGCAAAATTATCTAATAATTATTTCTCAAAACAAGTAAAATGATCTGCCAATGGAATAAGACACTTTCACTAGGTACAATTACTTAAAACAAGTAAAATATCTAGAAATAGGTGAAATAATCTCATAATATTTGACAATAATCTCATAATGAGAAATAATAGATATATTCACTACATTTAAGATGTTTTTACTTACTTAGATATAATTCTTTGTGGTGTAAAGACACAGCTGGACTGAAATAAGACACGAATGAATGAGGAAGAGCAGCTGTTTGTGCTCAGTTTCCTTCCAGGCCTGGAAACTGTGAAAGAGGCCATTCGTAAGCAGTGACTTCACATCAGCATATGAGCCAAGTAAATGCATCCTTGAGCAGGAAGTGGGGCCTCATGGAGGAAGATTGTATATAATCAGCCATTTACATCCATCTAATATTATTTTAGTTGTCTGTGACTGATTTTGGCTTCTCAGCACTGCAGTAACACTGACGTGGTGGTGGTGTGTTAGTGTGTGTTGTGCTGGTTCGAGTGGATCAGACACGGCAGCGCTGCTGGAGTTTTTAAACACCTCAGTGTCGCTGCTGGACTGAGAATAGTCCACCAAACAAAAATATCCAGCCGACAGCGTCCTGTGGGCAGCGTCCTGTGACCACTGATGAAGGACTGGAGGATGACCAACACAAACTGTGCAGCAGCAGATGAGCTATCGCCTCTGACTTTACATCTACAAGGTGGACCAACAAGGTAGGAGTGTCTAATAGAGTGGACAGTGAGTGGACACAGTGTTTAAAAACTGATCCACTCGTACCAGCGCAACACACACTAACACACCACCACCACGTCAGTGTTACTGCAGTGCTGAGAATGATCCACTTTCTTAAATAATACCTGCTCTGTGGGGGTCCTGACCATTG